TGAAAATACAATTGATAGAATAGGAGAAAACATTTGCAAATCATTTATATAATATGGGTTTCATATCCAGAATACATTAAAAAACTGTCACAAGGGTGACTAGGTGGTACCATTGGGTGGAAGTCTGGCTCTCAGTTTCAGCTCTGGTCCTGATCTCAGGCTCTTTGGATGGCTCCATGTCAGGCTCCATGCTCAACATGCAGTCTGCTTGAGACTCTCTCTCCTTGAGAGTCTCTCTCCTTTTCCCTTTGCCCCTTACCCTCCTCCATGTGCACCTCTCTCTCTCTCAAATAAATTAATATATCTTGAAAAAAATTCTCAAGATAATAATAATAATAATGATAATATAGTAAATGGACACAGTATTTAAAAAAATATATAAATAACAAAAAGACAACCCAATATTTTTACATAAGCAAAGGATTTGAATAACTATTTCTTAAAAGATATGCAATTAGCCAATAGCCATATAAGCTACACCACTGGCCATCTGAGAAATACAATCAAAATCACAATAAGATACCACTTCATAATCAAGAAAATAGAAAATAACAAGTTGGCATGTATGTTCAGAAATAATCATTGCCATATGTTGCTAGTGGGAATGTAAAATGGCACAGGTACTGCAGAAAACAGCTGTCCATTCCTCAAAATGCTAAACATAGAATTATCATATGACCCAGCAATTCTACTCCTGAGTGTACACCAAAGAGAAGTTAAGACAGATCCACACAGAAAACTATACAAGAATGCTCACCATAGTATTGGTAATATTAGGAAAAAGTACAAATGTCCATACAAATGTCCATCAACAGATAAATGGCCAAACAAATCATAATATATGAACATACAATGGAAAGGTATTCAATCATAAAAAGGAATGAACTACCGATATATGCTACAACTTGGATGAACTTGAAACCATTACACTAAGTGAAAGAAGTCAGACACTAGGGGTCATGTATTACAGGATTCTTTTTATAAATAACATGTATAATATATTGAGAATATGAAAATCCACAGAAAGCAGAATAAAGGTTACCAGGGGGTGGGAGGCAGGGAGTGGAGAGTGTCTACTTAATAAGTACAGAATGTTTTTATTGGGTGATGAAAAGGTTTTGAAATTAGAGAGAGCTGGTGGTAGCATAACATTCTGAATACACTACCACTAAATCATACACTTTAAAATGGCTAATTACATGTCATGTAAATTTCTCTTCAATTAAAAAAGAATAGAACAGTATGTGCTATGGTGAGTGCTGTGAAATGTGTAAGCCTGATGATTCACAGACCTGTGCCACTGGGGCAAATAATACATTATATGTTAATTTAAAAAAAGAATAGAACAAAGAATAGAACACTACAGGACAAACTTAATAAAAGTGTAAGACTGGTAGACTAAAAACTGTAAGACATCACTGAAAGAAAATTAAAGACTTATAGAAGTGGAAAGATGTCCCATGCTCATGGACTGAAAATTTTAATATTTTTGAGATGGCTACCCCAAAAATTGATCTACAGATCAATCCCTATCAAAATCCCCATTGGCTTTTTTTGGACAGGAATCAGCAAGCTGATTCTAGAATTCATAGGGACATATTTGCAAGTGACTCAGAACAGCCAAAACAATCTTGAAAAAGAACATAAAATAGAGTTAAAGAACTCACAATTTCACAACATTTACAGTAATCAAGATAGTGTGGTACTGGCATAAGGACAGACGTATAAAGTAATGGAGTAGAATGGAGAATCTGGAAATAAACTCGTCTATAATCGATTGTTTTTCAATAATTCTGCCAAGACATCAAAAGTACAACACAAGAAAAAAAAACAGATAAACTGGACTTCATCAAAATTAAAAACTTTGGTACTTAAAAAAAAGCCATCCAGAAAGTGAAAAGGACAACGGTTTGTCTAATATCCAAAGAACCCTTACAACTCAATAATAGAAGGACAAATAAGCTAACTCAAAAATAGGCAAATAATGTGAACAGGTATTTCTTGAAAGAAGACATATAAATGGCCAATAACTACAGGAAAAGATGTTCAACATCATTAGTCATTAGGTAAATGAAAACTGAAAGCACAGCGAGATCTAACCTCACATTCACCAGGATGGTTATAATCAAGAAGACAATAACATGCTGGTGAGGATGTGGAGAAACTGGAATTCTCATTCGTTGCCAGTGGGAATGTATACTGTGCAGCTCCTTTGGAAGATAGTTTGCCAATTCCTCAAACACAGAATTACTTTATGACCTAGCAGTTCTAGTCCTAGAATTATAGCCAAAAGAAATGAAAACATCACTCAAAAACTTGTGCATGGAAGCTTGTAGCAGTCAAAAAAGTGAAAACAAACCAAATGCCCATCAAATAATGAATTCATAAGCAAAATGTGGCATATCCATACTCTAAAATATTATTTGTAAAGAAAAGGAATGATGTACTGAGACAAGTTACAATATGAAAACATTATACTAAGTGAAAGAAGCCAAGACCTAATAGGCCATATACCGTATGATTCCGTGAATGCCAAGGGTCCAGAATAGTGAAATCCAAAGAGATATAAAATAGAGTCGTGGTTGCCTAGGCCTGAGAGGGAGGAGAGAATGAGGAGTGACAGAGTAAAAGAGGATATTCTTTTGGGAATGATGAAAATCTCTGGCAATTGATAGAGATGGGGGTGCCTGGGTGGCTCAGTGCGTTAAAGCCTCAGCCTTTGGCTCAGGTCATGATCCCAGGATCCTGGGATTGAGCCCTGCGTCGGGCTCTCTGCTCAACAGGGAGCCTGCTTCCCTTCCTCTCTCTCTGCTTGCTTCTCTGCCTGCTTGTGATCTCTGTCTGTCAAATAAATAAATAAATTCTTTAAAAAAAATAGAGATGATGGTTGTACCACATTGTGAATATACTAAAACGACTGAAATAAATACTAAAAGGGTGAAATTTATAATAAGTGAATTATATCTCAATAGGAAAAAAAGTAGGTAAAGAATTCACTGCAGAGAAACAAAGTATTATACAAATTGGGGCTTGGGGGAGGGCAGTATTTTAGTGTGTAAAAACACTTCATAATGTGTAAGAAGAATATTAACAAGTAGATGAGGTTTAGAGGTGGGTTAACTGGAAGATTCTAATTCAGACATTATATGCCAGGACGAAATCTCTTCAGAATTTTAAACCTACATCTTAGGGAAGAAAATATGACCCCAAAGCGAAGACTTCCTATCACTAAATTGGTCATTGGCTACAACTCTTATTCAAATCTCGGCATGGTGATGACGTTTGTATATGCAATCAATTGTATGGGAAAAACCATAAATCTGGGTTGAGTTCCATTGGTACTTTGTGGACTTTATGAAATAAATAGTCTCCTGCACCCATCAATCAGGGCCTGAAAGCTTTGGCCTTATCTGTTGTATGGGAGCTTTGCCCCCTCGCTCCTCGGTTCATATTAATGATGGAAATATTCTGGACATAGAATTCTTAAAATCTCTGCACAGACTATTTCTAGGCTGACACAGCATGAGAAGACAAGGAGATGAACTTAACTACTGATTACATCCGTGAAATGTAGTGAGAATAAGCTGCAGGTAGCAGAGAAGTTATTCCAGCAGAGGAAAATGGGAAACAGAGTGTGCCGTACCTCCAGGCACACTAACTCAAACCACGTATTCTGAGATCTGATGAACATTTCACCTCATCTTGAAGAACATTATTCTAAAGTTAGATTTAGCCAGTTTTTACAGAAAAAAAGAATAAACAACTCTAAATCTATCTGCATATCAAAATCAAATTTGAGAAGATGTTATATATTTTATAAAAACTTTTCTAGACTAATTGGAGAGCTTAAATAGGTTGTGTGTTTTTTTTTAAGTTTGGTTTGATTTGTTGATTGTTTTGAATTTTTATTTTTTTTTCACTGAAATTCGATGACAAATCCTAATCATTTTTCTGTATCAAGGAAAAAAAAAAAAAACATTGAAACACACCAAATTTCCAGAATCATTCAAATCAAAACATTAAACATCTGCTCCATTCTAGAATGGCATGTTACATACTCCACATTTTTTTTAAGTTTTGTATATTTATTTTACAGACAGAAAGCATAAGCAGGAGGGGGCAGATGGAGGGGCAGCCAGAGGGGAGAGGGAGAGAGAATCTCAAGCAGACTCCACACTGAGTGCAAAGCCCAACACAGGCTTGATCCCAACACCCTGAGAACACCACTCGGGCCCAAACCAGGAGTTGGACCCCTCACTGAGTGTGCCATCCATATGACCTCATTCTCTACATTTTTTTAATTGAAAGAAATCAGTTTCTCCTAGAATACTTACTTTTAAAATGCTAAGCTTAAACAACCATTATACCTAATTAATTTTGAAATTAGAAAACATAAATTTGAAACAGAAACTCTCTAAATACTTAATATTTCTACAATGAGAAAAAAATATAAATAACTAGAAAGAGTCCCTACTGTGGTGTTTAGCTGAACCATCAAGTTGGTTTGGTAAAGAGGTCTGGCAAGTCTGAAGACTCGTGCTTATTTCTCACTCCTTAGATTTCTACATTTCTTCATTTAACTCCAAAGAATATATAATAAACTTATGATTCAATTAATGGATTAGCATAAGTTAAAGATAGATAAACATGGGAAAAATTAGCTTTAAATAGTGATCTGCAGCAATGGTACCATTTCATTGGATAAAAATTTTTAGCAACTCTTTTTTTTTTTTTTTTTTTTTGGGTGCCAAAACCCGGGAATGAACAGCAACAGTTTTTAAAGTGGCTGCCTAATGCATCTTTATAAACCCAGTCCATTTTCATTCTGGGAAAGACTAGCCGATTTCAGACACATGAGTTACTGAGTAATCAAAACAGCCTTGCACAGTATTTTTATCATACACTTTTATTAAAATCTGATTTGCATCAACAAAAAATAAGAACAGCCATCGCCACTCACACAGAGATGCCTTCAAAGAAAATGCAGCCAGTCCACTTACCTTGGGGTGCTATCAGAGTTCTTCCGTTCTCCTGACACCAACCAACTGGCTGAACATAAGGGCTATTTACATCACACCTGCAAAACAGGATTCTATTTCAGATCCTACACAGGTCAAAGCCAGAGAAATAATCCAAGAATAATGACCATTCTAGATACTAAGAGACACCATGGAAGATGTAATTACATAGCTAAAATATTTTATAGGTAAATAAAATTAGAAGTAATTTTTAGTAATATATTTTTTAAGGTAAGTGACCAAACTTCTCTTTTACCTAACTTTCTTGAAATATAAAAGTTCTACTTAGAAAGACTTTGACTAAAACATGAACTGCCAGTGTTATCCCCAAAGAGTGAACATTTTAATAAACCTCTCCCACCACTTCCTACTAGCAGCAAAGGAAAAAATATTAATAGGCCAGCCCAAGTTTAGCAGGTCAGACCAGACTCCATATGCCTCCAATTTCCTCCCTCTCCTTTTCAAGAAACCCAGACCATTCTGAGACACGCAGAACAATTAATCCGTGCTCTGCTTCTTAGTTCGAAGAAGAGAACAAGGCCCCCTTCATGCACATGAAGAGCCGTAGCCTCAGGCAGAGACTTGGCGGTTTCTCAGGATAGACTGCGAAGAAATGCTACAAAAATTATTTTTGCCATTCCCTCTTCCATATTTCAGGTTTTTACCCAGAAAGCCTTTTGTAACTCATGCAATGTTAGTTTAATGGTATTGTAGCATACATTTTCTCTGCTCCCCACAGGATCTCAAATAATTCACTCCATTCTCCCCGTGAATCTCCCCTTTCAAAAATATGACAGGCTGAGTTCAACATTTTTCAGGAAAAAAAAAAAAAAAAAGCTCCAAGTTCTTCACTTCCTCTTCACAGAAATGCCTCCCTTACAAACTAGACACAACACAGTGAAGTGCCCTGACCTGGTCATATTATTTCAGCTGAGGCCTCATTAGGTAACCTCTCATAGAGTGGAGAAGTTTCTCGGGCACTTTAATTCAGCAATTCATGTGGAAGAGAAGGTCATGAAAAGTTGGCCACTAAATTCTGACGTTCATTACTCTAAGAACAGCAAGGACAGTGACAGGACTGGAAGGAAAATAAATTCTTAACACCAAACATGAACACACAGAAGTAAAATGCACATTGGTGTCTCACCAGTAATCGTAACTATCATCCCAATTGTCAAAATGCACTAGTAAGCGATCTTCAACAATATCTGCTATGGTTGCCACACACACCAAGGAAGGGTTCTTTCTGTCGACAGCCTCCAGCTTCATTCCAACCTGAAATTCTTTAGGCATTGGCCCATTCTAACACAGCACCAGAGGGGAGAGGCACAAAAAGAAACAGGACACCAGATAGGACTGAGCTACTGTCAAAACGTCTATGTTTAGCATCAGAACAGTCTACAGGCAACACTTACCCTCCAGAATGAAGCCAGCAAATGCTAGTACAAATATTCCAACAAACTGTTACGAGATTAGCATTCTTAACAAAAACCCAGGAAACTAGCTTTTACCTTGTACTTTTCCTCTTTTGTTGTGCAGGTAAGTTATATTTCCCTCATCATCATTATTTTCCCTTTTCAGTTCTTAGAAGAAATTATATTAATTTTAAAATATGATGTTTACTGGATACAAGAGTATCAAATAATTTTCTCTGCTCCCCACAGACTTGAACAGTTTCCAAATACCAGTATTTGGAGAAGTAGTAAAGATAGGCTCTTTAGCACCAAAATTATCATTTACTTTGATGAGATCTGAAAACAGTGGCTTTCTCGATCTTTAAGAAACACATGCATGAATCCATAAATAAACCTATACTTGAAAGAAATCCAAATGCTTTTTTTAGTATCTATACACATTTTTTCATAGTAAAAAAAACAGTAAGGACTATGATTTAAAGTAACATTACAATAACAAAACCCCACTTTTTATACCAGTGTAATTAGCCAGTCCTGGGATCTGGGGACTAGAAAATGTTTTTTTCCTACCTCTTTACGGTCTATACTGAGCCCTGCTTTTTGTTTTCCTTTAGAGCATTACATCTTTAAAAGCAATTTCCCATTTCTATAACTCTCTTTTGTTGATAAAATTCTATGAAACACACAGAGCAGTTGTATAACGTTGATTTCAAGATCAGGGTGAGTGTCCTACAAAGGGACACACAGCCAGTAGGTGGCAGAGCAACCCTAGGGTTCCCTGCCCCCTTCCCAGGTAGGTGGCCTCACTGCAGGGAGTTGAGGGGGGCAGGCTGACAGACCCAGAGGAGGCAGGGGCTGCACCTTATTCTCATTCTCTCCTGAAGAGCTGGCAGGTTACTGAGGACACAGATGGCGTAACAAATGTGCTCCACCCAAATCTTCATATCTTCATACGCCCCTTGAATCTGTAGAAAATGTCACCCTCATTCTCGTTACACAGAAATCCAACTAGGCTGGGTTTATTCAAAGTCTACCTGGGCTGTCTACTGGTCTCAAAACACCAAACTAAGTTCAAACGAGTAACTCACTGGAATCAAGAAGGAAAAACCATTCCAAAAGGCATTTTAAATTTTAGTAGGATTTAAATATAAAGTCTTCAACTCTCTGCATCTAAATAAAGTATTTAATTGTACATTTAAAGGTGGGGTGGGATACACCTATAGGAAACAGACAAATTAAGTGAGAAAAGTCATATGAAGCTAAGGATTCTGAAAAAAATACAACAGAATATATAGTGAATTTTAAGAAATCTAAGCTCAAGTAGAAATCTGATTTATACTGAGGAAGAAGATACTTACAGAACTTCTGTTTCTGAATAATTTCTTGGGAGCATTTTGCAATTTGCAGGCCTTCAAGTAATCCATCCAAACAAATTTATCTTTTCTATAACCTAAAAAAAGTATGGATTATTCAAAATACCCACAGGATATAACCATGTGCATATTCAATATATTAGCCTTCTTCAGTCTTCTGTTATAAATTCAAAGTCCTGTAGTAGACCAAAAATGATTTAAATTAAAATCTCTAAATTGTTTCAATGTCTTTTAACATATGAAATTCAAAACTGTTGACGTGATTTCCCATCATGCATATCATGCCCTTACAAATTGTTTAAATTCATTAAGATATAGAATTGGTCTGCTGATGGCCTGATGGGAGTCTCATCTCTTTGTGAGGCTTTCCAAAATGGGCAGAGGGATGAGACAAAAGTTCCTGAACTCCTGGTCAATCCTGAAGAAGCCATGTCACTGAGAACATCAGAGGTCCTGATGATGCAACAATCCAGGGTTCCAGGCACTTGGGGACATTATAGAAACCCCCTCACATTTCAAACACCATTTGGCAGCAAGAGCTTTCTGCTGCTTATCTTTGTGGGTTTTGCCTTTTGTACTGATCCTCCCCTCTGTGTGCCCTAAAGTGGCTCCCACAGTGTTGGCCCAAACAAGAGGGGCTCAATAAACTGTTTCTGGTTGAATGTTACACAGAACAAAAGTCAGGCTCCTTGCACAGCACCACACCTCTAACTTCATCTCCCACACCTTGCCCTTGCTTCTGTGCTCCAGCCAAATTCACCTCCTTGGGATTCCTCAACCTGGTAGCCCCAGGGCGTCTACTCTCTCAGGCAGCCCTCTCAAGGGAGGCCTCGCTGACTTCCCTCATTCATCCACCTGTCTGTGGGACATCACGTTCTCATGCCCTTCTTCAGCCTGCAGTCTGTCCCATCCCCCAACCCTGTCACTGCTTGCCACCCTACCTCACCTTCGTCTAAGACTTGTCGCCCCCCCACCCCAGAACGAAAGCCCCATGAAGACAGAGGTGGTTTAGTTTATTCACGGCTCTATCCCCAGTGCCAGCACACAGCAAGGACTCCATAAAAACCTACTGAAAATGAGCCCGTGACCAACTTTCATGAAATCCAGCAATCTTAGGGATTTTGCCATCGGTCTCAGGGGTGGATCGCAAAGGCCACTTTGAGTTGGGCAGTAAAATGACTGTACTCAAACTCCAGAAGTGCCACTGTCATCCAGTACTCTGGCAACTGAGCAGAAGCCAGTAGACAGAAGTCTGCTGTGCAAGGAAATAGGCCCATGGGTATCTCAACTGATCAAATCCTCACCTCACCAGCACACAGCAAATAAAAAAGCCTTCAGTCACATCTGCCAGGCCCAGGTTCCTCTCGCACATAACAAGAGACAAAGATGAGATTTTTGATTCAAGGAAGTAGACAGGGGGGCCTGGTTGGCTCAGGGTGGGTTAAGCCTCTGCCTTCAGCTCAGGTCATGATCCCAGGGTCCTGGAATCGAGCCCCACATCAGGCTCTCTGCTCAGCAGAGAGCCTGCTTCTCCCTCTCTATCTGCCTGCCTCTCTGCCTACTTCTGTCTACTTGTGATTTCTCTCTCTGGTAAATAAATAAATAAATAATCTTAAAAAAACAAAGGAAGTAGACAGTGAAATCCTCTTCTCTTTCATAGTTACGTTTTTTCCATGATTTGTTTGAAACAAATGATATACAGTGAATCGAGTTTCCTCACCATATGGTATCAGTGACTAAGTGAAACAGTTCATTTCAAGCATGATGTAAAATAAGTTTCTTTATTCCATCTCAGGTTTAATAAACTTTATATTAAGTCATAAGATTTTATTTCTGCCATAGGTACCTGATCAGCATATTTGACCTAAGCAGTCACTGATGCTTTTATTTTTTTTTTAGAGATTTTATTGATTTGAGAGAGAGACAGAGACAGAGACAGCAAGAGAGAGCATGAGCAGAGAGCAGAGGGAAAAGCAGGTTCCTCACTGAACAGGGAGCCTGATCAGGACTCGATCCTGGGACCCTCGGAACATGCTTAACTGACTGAGCCACCCAGACGCCCCCATTGCTTTTCTTTTAAAGACATTTATTCATTTCTAAAAATGGTATCCTTGTAGTCTTACTGCTTTGGGGGGACTAAACTTTCATTTTGAAAATCAATTCACACCAGGCTCTCTTGTTAGTATTTCATGAAATGTTGTTAAAATAAAACCAACTCTCTTTCCATCCCGGCTTACCCTTAGGGATGTGCAATTCATGTTTGGTCTTCTCACACCACCCTACTGGATGAATGTCAGGGGAACCGGCATTGGTCCAAAAATCATAGCAGCTTAAATAACCATCAAAGTGAAGTCTGAGGCGATAACCACACACCTGTAAAATGGAATGTTTGCAATCCTTCATTAAATGTCACGCATTTGAAGAGTACACAAAATTAACAAAATATTCACATACTCTATCAGTGCTATCAACATAATATAAACCAACCCTTCCATCCAAATGTGCTTGTATTAAAAGGCAAATTTAGAGATGACATCTGAATAAAACAAAATGCTGACAGATACGATCTTTCAAGTATCCAGATTTTTTTCTGTAAAAAAAAAATTATCCTTTTACTCAGTCTAGAAATCTGAGGTGTTTACACCTCCATCAATTGATTGTTCATTCAATACCTCTCAAATATTGCTCTTGGAAACCCCATCTCCCGCTGTCCCACAACAGTATGCAAGCTAAAGTACAGAGCAAAACCAAAATGGGTATGTCTTCATTTCAACTCTAACACATGGATCCAGCATACTCAATTAAGGAAATAAATAAAACAGTGTAGAATACATCCTTAAGACATGCTATACAAGTTTAATAGCTATAATCAATCACTAAATTAAGTGAATAGTGTTTTTTACATGAGGTAATTAAAAATATAGAGATCTTCCATCATTTTAATAATATAAAATGTTTAGTAAATATTACATTTTATAAGCCATTTACTTTCATCAGTGGCTCTTCATTCTAAGTAATTTTCATAAAATGCTTACATTTATATAAATAGATATTTCATGTGCTTGGATATTTTTCATACACATTTCTCATCAGTTCAGCTAAAACTTGAATAATTATGTCTCTTTTAACAGACAAAAGTAACACTGTGGGATTCACTGATTGTTATCAACCTCAAATGAAAACTATTTACCAACTTAATCAAGGATAACTGCTAGTGATGAGGGACTTATTAAAAGATTAATCTTCACAGAAGGAAAAAAATTCATTAAGAAACATATTTCACCCATCACTGACTAAAATACATCCATGATGTACTAGAACTTGTTTATAATGGAAAGCACTCAAATTCATTATTCTCTAGAAAATTCTCTTCTGTCACTGTGCACTCAGCCCAAGACAATAACACCATCTCTTACCTCAGCTACAGAAAGCACACAGAATACAGATGGATGTCGGGGGTCAATGCCTTCTAATCTCATTCCAACCTGAAAACCATTTTCATGCTCCGGAAAGGATTGGTCCTATGAAATTTCATGATATAACATTAGCTACTGAAATACCTTCACAATGTGATATTAAAACACACTTGCTGTTGCTATGCATACAATCAAGAACTCCCGGTATGGGCTTGGAGGCTCGGGGATACAGCTAAAGACCGATGGCCGCTTTTCTATATTTGGGCCTCAAAGATGGTTTGATCATTTTATCATTACTTAGAAAACAGTTTATATTGAAACTGTAGGAAACTACATGTCCTGTGAACTCCCCATGTATTCCTTTTGCCCATTTTTCCTTAGTGATTTGAAGAAGCTCTTCCTGTACTCTGGAAACAATCCTTTGTTGATTGTAATGATTACCTATTCCCAGTATGTGAGTTGGCTCTTTATGACTTTGTTGTAGAGAATTTTTTTTTATTTTAATGTAGTAAAATACGTCAATTATTTCCTTTTCAGTGTGCACATCCAACCTATGAAATCCCTCACAACCCTGAAGTTACATGGACATTCCCCTAGCATTCTTTTAAAACTTCTGTTCTTCATATTTAAATCTACAATGCAACTGAAATTAATTTTGTTCTATGGTGTGAGGTAGGATCTATTTTTTTAATACAGAAAACAGACTATTCAACAAAATTTTTTGTATAGTCCATACTTCCATTATCAACAAAGTTATCTCTGATATATCATGTTTCTACACATTTGTGGGTCTACTTCTGGCCCTTCTATTCTGTTCATTGGTATATTTTCTTATATCACATTGACTTATTTGCTTATGACTCTATATGGAGAGCAACCTTTATCATATTGAATTTTCTAATTCAGGAACTTGTTCCCTCTCCATTTAACTTCATCATTTTGTTTGTCCAAGATGTTTTTAAAATTTTTGAATCGACATCATTGGTTATTAAAATTTTCAAATAGGCTTCAAAAATGCTTTCTTATGTTTATTTCTGTGTACCTTTTAATATTTACTGCTACTATAAATGGAATCTACTTTGTAATAGACTTTCTAATGTGCTCCCATTCATATTATTTTAATACTAGCCTTGTTTCCCACAACCTAGCAAATTATCATTATTTTTGAGCAGTTTTGAGCAGATTCAGCATTACTAGTCAATTTACTCTTAACTGCAAGTAAGTTATAAGAATGCTAATAGAAAATGATGATTAAAATCTAGTTTTATTAGAACAAGAGCCGCTTTTTAATCACTAATTTTATTACTCTTTATTACTGGTTAACGCATTAATGTTTATTTTTATTCTTTTGAAAAATAAATCTCTTCATTTGAATGTAATGTCAAACTTAAAAGAGAAGCTGCAAGAACAAAATAATACAAAGAACATGCATAGCCTTTGCCTGGACTCCTTTATTGTTAACAACAGTAGAAAACTCTTTGTTTTACCATTTGTGTTCTCTCTCTCTCTCTCTCTCTCTCTCTCCTATCTGTGCCTGTACACTGATATAAATATAGATACGCATATACATCCACATGTATATATGACTGTTTCTGAATCATTTGTGGGCCTTTTACCCTTAAATACTAAATGATTTTCCCTTAAGAGCAGGCAGTGTAGCTCCCTTGAGAATGAGAACATTCTCTTATGTAACAACAATTCAGTTATCAACTTCTGGAAACGTAACATTTATAAACTTTTAACTAATCTTCAATTCATATTCCAGTATTTCCAATTTATCCAACAAGGCACTTTATAACACCTTCCCCCTCCACAACGTGATTCAGGTAGGGTCAGATATCAAATTTAGTTGATATGTTTATTTAGTCTCCTTTAATTTGGAACTTTTTCCATACTATTTCTTTATCTCTTACAACAACAACATTTTTAAAGAAAACAGTCTTTCCCCTCCACCATTTTTTTTTTTTAAACAGAAAGCTCATTATTCCGGATGTGTCTGACATTTGCCCATGATTAGATTCAGTCATGCATTCTCTGCCAGTATGTTACATGAGTGACAAAAGTCCTCAGGATATCTCCTCTGGAGCCACAGGACGCCCATGCATCCTCTCACTGGTGCTGTTGATTTTGATCACACAATGACAGTGTTGCCCAATTCACTATACAGTTACATACAAAACACACATACATATACATACACAAATATTTACACATGGATGTATGTATATGCATACTTATGTATATTTTACAAATCCTAAATTCATACTGATATGTCTAATCCCAGACCACCCCAAAGGGTTCGTTCTGCCTTTTCCCATCCATTTTTGTCTTTCTCCTCTAACCAGGTCAGCACATTTACTCATATACTAAATCCTATAGCATCTACTATAGTTTCAGGACTGTTTTACCCACAGTACTATAATAAACAAATCTACAAAAAGATTTCAGGATTTGTTTGCAATTCTCCCTCCCTGCTCTGCTGTCCACGAATGGGGTATGCAGTTAAGAACCATGTTCATATCCTATTTGGATTCACATTTTTCTCTCTCTCTAGTGCAGTTAAAGTATCCATTTGAAATATGGTTGTGTTCATTGATTTAAATGTGCTTTCAGTTCTTAATGATTTGTTTTTATTTCTTAATATGTAGAATGTTAACATCCTTCCATGAGTTAGAGCTGTACAAAAAGGTTCTCAAAGAAATGTCTCTCTGTCTCCCATATCCTATCCTCCCCATTCTACCTCTTTAGAGGTAACCACCCTCACTATTTTCTGGTCTAGCCTTCCTGGATTTCTTTTTGTAAAAATAAAAAGAAAACATTTTGCTTTATTTTCCCCTTCCTTCTCACACAAAAGGTAGCATACTATATATGCTATTTTGCATGTGGCTTTTTTCATCTCTTAACACCTCCTGGAAACCACTCCATGTCAGGTCACAGCGACTGTCCACAGTCCTTGTCACAGATACATCATACTCCACTCTGTGTAAGTACTATAGTTTACTCAACCTTCTTCTACAGTTGAGTGTGTGCCTTTTTTATACGAACATGAAATTGTTTTTAAATCTTTATGAATTGGCTCGTAAGATGTCGTTAAGAACATTCACAGATCATTTTAGAAGCTTCCAAGGAAAAACTTAAAGGATGACAAAACCCAAAAATGAAATGGCAAGAATGAATGATTTCTCAGAAATATTTTATTTCTGCAAGAAATAAATGTCATGTGTGTGTTTAATTCCCCAGCCTTCTTCTCACATCTACTCTGTTTCCCAGCAGACTGTATATAACAGGTTTTATGTGACTGCCTCCTGTTCACTGCTTTGAAATTTCTTGGTTAACTTCAACAACACTGCACACACATGCATGTGTGTACACACAACACTGATAAGAAACCAACAGAACAGGAAAGACCACAGGGAATATATCAATAATTCTGAAAGGAAAGTTAAGAAACTGTAAAAACTGAGAGGACATTTTTCATGTTTGACAAAACCGAAAGATAGAAAATTGGGGACAGGAAGGAACCAGGATTATATGGAACAGACTGTGCTCTCTTTTCACAGATGAATGATAAATTCAAGACACTGACAATAATTCAGAGCTGGGAGTTAGGATGAGCAACGTTATTCTTGTCAGCATTTTCAGAAGGTTTCTCAAGTAAAATTTGGGAGCTTCAGGTAGCACTGCAAGGAACACTACACGGCTACAACTGTCACAGCTTCTTTGGAGGGTTTCAAATAAAAGACAAAACATTCATTTTTACAATCTGAAAGGCAGCTTCTAGTGAGAAACAGCATTGTCTTTCATCAGTCTCTTTTCGGTTTAATGGTTTATTCATAGCAGATTTAATTTTTTTTCCTTTCTATAAATCATGTATTTTATGAACACAATTGATAGCTGTGCTATAAAATTATATTTTATGGTAACAAAAGGGAACTGGAATCACACACTAAAGCAAACAATAGTCTGTTAAATTCAGTCATAAAAAATCATAAGGTCTGTAGACTTGAAAAAAACTTTTAGAGTTAAATAAACTCAAACCCAGAGAGGTGAAGAGACTTTCTCTAGGTCACACAACCTGTTTGGTATCAGATCGTAACTAAGGACCCAAATCTTCTGAAAGCCAGCCAACTGTTTGTTCCACATTAGAGGACAGATGTGGAAACAGAACAAGCAAAACAAAACCCAGCTCAAGGCCATGGAAGGCATTTCCAAGGATGTGCCATGTACACTTGGGCACAGAAGTAAAGCTGTTTTATTTCATCATTTTCTTTCCCCAGACATTTGCAAAATAATGAAGTTTGTCAGTAATGATAAAAAGAATTATTTCAAGTTCTATACCACATAGCAAAAGCAGGTACAAATTGCATACTATTACTAAAAAAATAAAATAAGCCCAAGCATTAGGGAAAAAAAGAAAAAAAAAAAAACCCCAAACAAAACAAAATGCCACGCCTAGAGCAAAGCAGACAGGCTAACAGCAGAATTCCCTTATGAAGTACAATGCATAAGGCACTCATCACATGTGCGTGCCAGTAGATCTCTGCTCCAAAGTCACAAACGTACCCTGTAAACAGCTCTTGGACACTTGGTAGGTATCTGTGAGAAATTCTGGACGTTTCACTCTGTTTGACACTGAGCACCTCATCACAGGACCAGAGAGATTATGCTGGTACTGATTGTTTCTGAGCCACTCTGTGGAGACGGCAGAAGGCTGGTGGCCATCAGCACCAGCCGAACAGCAGCTAGATGTGTGTTACAGAGCTGTATCAATCCTCTAAATGGAAGATTCTATCTGCGTGCCCACAGGCATTCTATTTTATTCACAGGCAAGCGTTGGCAGGCAACAATATTTTCCTGATCTTAATTCAGTATCGAGAGAAATGGGAGAAATGAGGCCTGCAAGGGAGACACAGCCGCTGAAGCACACAACTTTAGCGGGCCATGGAGAGGACCGGTCCAAGAAGACAGGCCGCTGATTTCTGAACCTTCATGGGATGGCTGTCAAAGTGAAAGACGTTCATACAGATTTTATATGCAGATGGTGAGGTAAGATTCCTTATAACACCAAAGACCACTGCCATGAGTCCAGTGGTCTTCTTCTCTGG